CAGTGCCGCTGGCAGGGAACTCCTGGCAAGCCCTCAGGTTGTTCTGGATCAACTCATCAACTCGTTTTAAACTATAGCTGCCTCTGTAGGTTCTCTCAAGAGGTGTAAACTATATGGTTGTTACTTGTTTCAGCTCGGGACTGGGGTTCCCGAGAAGTCTCCCTGCAGTGCTCCCAGAAATCTTCCTCCTGCCACCAGCAGATTCTCCTTAAATCACACAATGGTTTCGCTTGGGAGAGACCCCAAAGACCCCAAAGTCTTGTTCCACCCCTTGCCATGGGCAGGGACACCTTCTACCAGCCCAGGTTTCTCCAATCCGGCCTTAGGCATTTCCAGGGATGGGGCAGCCACGGCTCCTCTGGGCACCCTGTGCAAGAGCCTCCCCACCCTCACAGAGAAAAATTTCTTCCCAATATCTAACCTAAATTTCCTTTCTTCCAGTCTGAACCAATTCCTCCTTGTCCTATTACTACAGTGCCTGACGAAGGGTCCTTCTCTGGCTTCTCTGTAGCTCCTTCAGATACTGGCAGGTGCTGTGTGGTCTCCACACATCCTTCTCTTCTCTGGGCTGAACTGACCCAAATTTCCCAGCCTGTCTCAATAGGGCACATGCTCCAGTATTTTTGTCAACTTCGTGGCCCCCCTCTTTTGGGAGTGTGGGGAAGGGAAATGACGAGTGGCCAGGGCATTAACGCAAATAGCCAGGGGTTAAGTCAGTGCTACAGTCAGACAGGGTGAGTGGCTTCAGGTTATGGGCTTCACCTTGTCACTAGGTCATGATTTATGGCATTTTCAATGATTGTCATTATTGGATTGGAAAAGTAAACCACCACAGATTTAGCATCACCAAGCTAAGGCATGGATAACTGAGATGTGCAGCTTTGCTGTTGACACCTGTGATCCCTTCTAAGGCCACCCTGTTTATTTGTCACTGTTTGACAGCAGTTCACACTATAGCAGAGCTCAATCTCATTCTCAACCTGCCACCTACAGGGTTTGGGGTTTTTTTCTCCAAGATTAAACTCATTTGGAGAAGAAAAAATTAATTGGCAGTGGCTCTTAGCTCCTAACCTAGAGAAGAGTCAAGGAAATATTCAACCTGGGTCCTGCCCTTTGGCAGATGCCACTCTGTAAAACATTCATGGTTCCATAATCTCGTTAGGAAGCAACCAGTGCTTTTATTATGTTCACCCTCAGAAAGAAAACTAATGATTAACTTATTACCACTTTATTTTGATATAGTACTGCAAGAGTGCACATCACCTTACAAACACAGAGAAGATGACACAGGCCTGCCCCAAGGAGTTTACAATTCCACTTCAGCAAACGCTACAAAAAAATTCAGTGGACAGGAAAAGGTGGGAGAGGTAATGCTGGCAGGTTAAAGAGTGGCTTTTCTGAAAGAGGGGATTGTCTCCAGAATAAAAAGCAGGTGACAGAGGGTCAGGCACAAGGAAGTGACAATCAGCAGTAGGAGGACAACGTGGAGCACAGGACACCTGGTAAAAACAGATTGCACAGAGACAGGCTGGCAGCACATGGAGGAAAACAAGGACCTGTGGGCTTTATAATTAACGTGTAAGATTGCAGCTACATAACACATCATTGTTTCAGCTATTCCAGAGAAGATAACATTGTGAATCAGAAGTGGCCTCTTTTTTTTTAATAAAAAAACTCAAACCAGTCCATTCCCAACAGGAATCTGTTGTACTATAATACTATTTTCCATTATGAGCACTTTGCACTTTTAAACTGGGGTGTAGAGAATATCAAAAAGCTCTGCAGGTGCAGAAAAAAAATCAAAGGTGAAAAAAAAAAGAATAGCAAAAATGTGTTGTTTAGAGATTTCATTCCTTTTACTCTACAGTATCTGCTTTGAATTTTGTAGCATATTTTCCAAATTCATCAGCCTGTCAAGAGGGAAATCTCCTGCTTGAAAACATTTTAGTGATTTACGGACTTAGTTAAAATCTCATTATCCTGCAATTTTCCTTTGCAGACAGAGCATGAAGAGGCCAGGCTTTGCTGTGGGAGTTGAACATTTCAGTTGCTGTAGCAGCATTGCACTTAAATTGGTGTCTCAGCAAGATTTGCCCCCTTTTTTTTCCCAGACATCTGTGTCCAGTTTCATCTCAAGGATCCAGATATAGCTTTGCTCAGTGACTGTCATAGTGTAAGTGTCCTATTAAGCAGAACAGCACAGATTTTCTCTGCTACTTCTGACATCGTGTCATTGCATTAGTGCTATAAAGGCTGTGTCAACAGGGCTTAGGTTCTGACAGATTAGTGAAAGCAAAAAGCTGTCACCCTCCCTTCCCCACTCTGTGAATTCAATTTTATTTTAATACAAATGCAGATTAAGTGCATGTGAGAGGCTGTAGAGCCTGGGAGCAGTGTCTCCAGCATGTGCAATTGCTTTACACAGCAACACCTTTGACTCTGAGGTACTCACAGATCAGGTTTTTGCTTCCTTACATTCAGCTGGGGTTACTTCCATGGAGCCCTTTCCCATGGCCACCCTCCTTGCACTTCCCACATGGATCAGGGTAAGGAGCTACAAAGGACACAAAAACCCCCAAGTCCTACAAATTCATCATTTAGGAATTATGAGAGCAGTACAACACATTGACCTATATTTGAGTTCCACAGATAAATGCATTATTGATGCCAACTGCTGGGACTCACTCTTTGGTAGCCCATTTATTTTCCCCACAAGGTGGCTCATGCACCAGGCATTGTCTTGGTCCTGAAACACTCAGCTAGGAAGCAGCAATGCTGTTTTCCACTCCAAATGTATATAATGTTACTATATACTACTCTATTTCCCTAAGCACCAAAGGATGAGGCAAACTGCCCCTGATCAACCACCCCAGCTGTGTTTCTGCTGTGCAAGACAATGTTTAGAATAATCTGAAGGCAGAATATTGCCCTCCACTGAACCCCCTGCTGCAGGAGGTGCAGCTCTGAAGCAGTTATGCCACAATCAGTAGAGTGTTTGCACATCTTGCATGCAGGTGCAGGTTTTTGATAGATAAATATGAGACTGAAGTTAGTTTGGTTCACAACTGTCAAAATAAATTTCACCCCATTCAATCAGAGCAGTGTTTCACTTTAGCCCAGCGTGTTTTCTCCAGCTTTGGCCAATTCTTACAGGACAGAACATGCAGACAAGTATCTTTCCTTGGCATAACTTTCTTATTTACAGCAACTTAAAATCTCCCTGAGTTAGTGGATGCATCAGACCATTGTTTAACCACCCTCTTCTTTAAAAAAAAAATGTTACTTCTGTTCTCCACTACATTCTGCAGCAAAGAATTCCAGTTTGACTTTGCATGATCCAAAACATGATCCCATTTGTCTGTTCAACCCTGAACAGCTAAAAGCTCCCTCTGTGCCCACCAGGACATGAGCTCTCCTCACAGCTGACCAGCAGCTTCTGACATTAAGCACACACATTCACCAGATCATCAGATGAAACTGGATTTGAAGATATCCCTAATAAAGGGCAGGATCTGGGAATTGCAGTAGGGAGGTAGATGGCAGAAATAAAACTGTGTTCTTTGAAGAATGTGCAGCTAAATTAAAAGGCAGCAGCATCTCCACTAAGACTTCATTAAAATACGCCACTCTCTGTTCCACTATTTTGCTGAGACATTTGTAACAGGCATTTAAGTGACATAAGAGTGGAAGAAATCACATTCAATTCTGAAACTGAGGTGGAAGTAATGCTGGCTAGCACACAGAACACCAACTCTGCTTTAGGACACTGAGACTACGGATGGAGGCTCACACACCTGATACTTTATCTGTCATTGTCACGTCACAAGTATCTCTGAGCAGGAACAGGACTCTTCTCAAAATATTTAAAAGTATTGTAATATAAAATGCAGAAATCTGCAGAAAGCCCTGGCTGTAACACTGCTGGTGTATCTCTGAACATGTACTTGAGACAAGACAGGTGACCAGCAAAATTAATCAAAACTCTGCCTTCTTAATTATTGCTCAAAAAAAGAAGGAAAGCTCACTAAATCATCAATCACCAAAACACAAAAAGTTCCAGAAGAACACAGTGCTGACAGCAGGCAGTAAATCTGCCTTGAAACAAACACATTTAATAAAGGCAACACATTATTAAAAAAAAAAATCACAGATGTGTAAAATCCTCAAGTGGTGAATCCTGAAAAGAGTGAGTGAAGACTACCAGGTACCAGGCAGTGCGGAGCAGCAGCGACTGGAGATGGCGCTGCCGG